TGTGTCAAGGCCAAGAAGGTCTGGGGATTAGAATTATAATACTGTTACTCTCACTACAATTCTCCCACTGACTACATCAACTGACAGGGTGGGGACAGAAGAGGGCACTTTGCATCCACAGCACTCGTGCACCATTGTATAACACGCACTTCTCAGGTAACTGCACTGACTGATTTTAAACCAACTTTTGGTTAAGTGGCGTGAAAACAGTGTACAAGGGCCTTATGTCACAGCACTATGTGTCTTCTAAATTCAGAATCACCATTCTGTGCTTAAATGCAGTAGTTTTGCACTAATCCTTTAAGTACAGATGTCTTTGTTGTGGTATACGTAAGTGGGCTTAACCCTAACCCCCAAGGCTTTTGCACTAAAAACAGTAATGAGCCTAGGAGATGAAACTTGCGTCTTCAAGGAGGTCACTATTATTACTTAATGGGCAGAATCTGCTAAACTGTAACAGGTCAACAGTGTTGAAGTTTGAGTCATTTTCTATGGATAGGTTTCTAAAGTGTACCGGTGACTTGCACAGTAGATTCACACACATGGTACCACTAGCCAGTCTCTCCATGAAGCAACTGCTGTGTGTCCCCACTCGAAACAAAATCCAACACCATCACCCGAAGCCTTTTTTCTTCAATCCAACAAAGTTGAATAACTTTGCAATGTATAGCACTGAATTGACAAAACTTGACAAAACCTACAGTTGAAATTTGAGAGATTTGAGGTCGTAACGGTTAAGCAAAAAAAAAAATCCTTGCTTTCCTAAGAGTGTGAAAAAGGTGCCCATTTAGAGTTTCTGCATTTGTAAATACAGGCTTTTCATTGTTGAACAGCCATGCAACTGGACACTCAGCACCAACACAGGACACAAAATGGAGCTGAAGGTGCCCCCTCATGGCAATGATTTCCTTAGTTCACTTGTGCAAGGCATCGCCAACCTTGACAGATCATCCTACCTTAGAGGCATGCTGCTGCAGTTTCTTCTTCAGATGCATCTGGACGGCCGGGTCTGCTTCCTTGCCTCCCTCGGCCATCTTGGCTTGCAATGCTTTGTGCATATTCTGAGAGTGTAAACAGGGGCACCAGACCAAATGCAGAATTAAAACAGTCCTCCGAACTCAGGCTGTGACTGAACCACTTGGCTGTGGCTTGCAGCAACATACAAGTCAATGAGATGCAGCCGCAGCCACAAGCTGGGGCCTTCCATAGGCACAAGTGGAATTTTAAGACATGGCAAAATAATAAAGCCTCAATGCTACAAAACAACCACCATGCTGCAGTCAAGACCAGAGACAAAACCAGATACAAGACCAGACACAAGACCAGTCACAATGTCACAGGGTGAATAACGACAAAGGAATGCTTTTGTTGCACTTCATTTGAATAGCTTGCAACATGACTTCAGACTGGAGGTCTTGTGTTGGTCTTGTGATTGTCTTGTGCAGTCTTATGATGGTCTTGTGCGGTCTCGGATGGTCTAAAGAGGTTTTGACTACAACACTGACAACTATCCCACAACATCAAGACATATTTCATTTTCAAAACATTCCAGTGACAAATTAGAGAATTTTAAGGTACCCAAAACCATACAATGTGTCACAAACGTAAGCATTTGGATGAAAATATGATTGAAAAGTGAGTTCTACTGGAACAAAACCTGACACGACACCAAAATGCCTCAACTCTGCCGGAGAATGTCATAAAGACAACAGAGGGATTTTTAGCACTTGAAGATGTCACTCCTGAAGGGATTTTTCAAGAATCCTAGCGGTCCTGGAGGGTGACCGTGGTTCCTACCTGCAGCTTGGCAAGTTGCTCCTTGTGCAGCAGCAGTCGCTGCTTCAGCTTGCTGTGCATGCGGCCTTGGTTGCTACCCTTGCCTGCCTGGCCTCCAGGCCCCATGACGACCAACGGGGTGCTCGCCATAAAGTTCCAGCGGGTGCTGGCTGAGGATGAAGCTTGAAATAAAGGGCAAGACTCAAGTTTAACTTTACTGACATTTGTGTTTGTTTTCCTCCAGTAATGATTCAGAGTTTTTAAGTCAAAAGTTTATAAAAATATAATTCTTTCAAAAATTGCCCTGTCCATAATTAAGAGCTGAAAAAACCCACAACTAACTGCTTGATCTGATTCAAAAATAAGAATTTCCATGATGCAATTCTGAAACACGTCCACATTTTGCAAAAAGATTTAAAGAAGGAATTTCTTACGATTTAAACGTTAAGACAGGCTTCATTTTAACAAAAATTCTCTACTGTGAAAACTAGCTTTACCTTGTTCTCTGTCTTTCCCATGTCCCTTTGGAGCTGCAGTTGCCCCAGCGGCATCCTCTTGGTCGTCAGTGGAGGTGCTCGCTGCTGCTGTGTGATCCAAGGTTCGCGACAGGAAGAGCAGCACCCAACCTATCAGAGCCAGGTCAAGCGAACCTGCAAAACAAAATCATCAAGCAATCAGCAAAAGCATGAATGTTTGCAGGCTTAACTCTCGCGGGCTTTGTCACTGTAAACAATCCCAATCTCTTCAAGTATGAACCCTTCACTGCTGTCAAAAGTTAGTGCTAGTCTGGAAAACTCTTTGGAAGTCTACTTTTTGTCGTTTTCGAACCCTTTCAGCTGAAGAGTTTTGAGTAATGAAAATGGTTCTGCTGATAATCAGGACAGTCAAAGAGCAAATTGCACCATAGTGTAACCACTTTTTAGATAAAAGCAAGTCCAAAATTGAACTTAAAATAGCAAATGATGGATGATTTTTCAAGATTTCCAAGACTTCTGAGTTTCACATACATATCCCTCATTTTTGTATAAAAAGTGAACTTTATCATTTAGAATCTCTTGAGTAATGCACATGGGTGGAGGTGGGGGACATTTGAAGCCAATTACCATTGCAGGGTGGGGGCCACTCTGGACAAAATACTTGTGAAGGGAGAATCAAAGGCCTTCCAACGCAGATCACAAGGAACAGATGATGGCATTTTCCAGCCTGTGCTGTCCACCATCTAAACCTCCATTTGAATGGGGCAACTTACCTCCTGTACCAGCCTGGATGCTACCGTCCAGAAGTGGAGACATGAGCTTGGCAAGTAGATTGAGAAGACTCTCCAGGACGCTGGCTGAGTTGTTGGAGGCCAAGGATTTCTGGCCAAGATATGCCAGCAGGATGAAAACTCTGCAAGACGATGGGGGAAAAAAATGAAAAAAATCAGTCAAGAAAAAGAAGAAAAGACACATTCCAATGTTGGTACTTAAGTCCACTTTCTTACATATGCAGCTTTCCAATTTGAAGTTTGCTGCAACGTGTCATGAACTGTGCTACACTCACTACAAATAAATGGTCAGGAAAGTGTTTCTTTGAACATAAGTGTCTCTAATAAGTACATGTTCTGAGTTCCAGCTTTTTGTACCTGATGTAAAATTTCTATGAGTTTTACTGTATTTCTTTCGATGTTTAGTACAGCTACAAATAGTGGGCAAATGTCTATCCTTATCACATCATGTGAAAAGTAAACAGCATTGATACTGCCCACAGAAGGGGCACGTTCTTCTCTAATGAAAGGAACAATAAACACAGGGTCTCAGAACTTTCAGGTACTGTCTGAGCATTTAGTTTGTTCCAGCTCCATTTTTAGAAGTTCTTTCCAGAGTACAAAGGAACATGTGTCCCGGTACGTCCCCACTGATACATGGGTAAGAGTTTAAAGGCACAGACTAAATTCTTTAATATTAACCACATAGTGTCGGGGGGCATTTATGAATGTTGATGCTGCTGGGAAGAAATCTTTTCCATTTTTTTCTGTTTTAAAAATTCTTTAAAAATTCAGAGCTCCATTTACTGGATGTTTACACCCACACGAATGACTCTGTGGTGGCTACTCCAATCCGACAGACAACATTTATTAATGCCCGAGTATTTCAGCCAAGCCTGCCGCCTTGTAAAAACGAGCCCAGATTGTGCGGTGTTATGGAATTTTCTTTTGTTCACAAATCTGGCACAGTGCACTGCTGAGCTCTTTTCAATAGGGGCCAGATTAGTGTGCAGCGGGATTGTATCGTTCATCACTGGAGCGCTGGAGTGCTTTTGTCCCCGGTGATAATCCGCTCGTGCTGAATGCCACAAACAGAGGTATAATTTTTCAAAACAATGACAGATTTCCTCCTTGTTAATAATAATACTAACAAGCACTTGTAAAGCGCCATCTATCTAGCAAACCATTCCGAGGCCCTGTATTATCATTATCCCCGCACATTGGGCTCACACATCTATGAACATTCCTGAAACCATCTCAGCTCCCAGGGGAGTATACTAGCCTGATGCTGCCATTTTGGCGAAAACGGTTAAACTACCATGTCTGCCCTCACAGGCACCCATTTACTCCTGGGTGGAGAGAGGCACGTAGGGGTAAAGTGACTTGCCCAGGATCACAACATGCTGCCACCAGCTGGATTCGAACCCCTGACCCTATGATCAGAAGCTACAAACCCTAACCACTAGGCCACATGCCTCCCTATTGTTACAAGACCCAGCACTTTTGTCTGGTTTCGGGCTCCCCAGTTTTGTGTTTATAAAGCCTATGTGCTCAAAACCGGGCTCCCCGGCAGTAAGTGGTTAAGTGTGTAAGTGCACAGACTAAATTCTTCAATAGAAAACTTAGTATAATGTTGCTCCACCACAGGGAAGTGTAAATTTGGAATTTTGACGGGCAGAGCTCTTCTCCGGTCAAGTCAATCAAGTCCGTGAAAATTGCACATTCAACTTTCCAATCAACTGAATATCTAAATTTGGATTAAGTAGGTTCCTACACAAATAGAAACAAAACATACTTGTTTTTGCAAAATCCAAAACAGAAATCTTGAAGAAAATGATGTAAATATTTATTTGGCTACTTTAAATTCACTTACAACATCTTGAAATAAGCTTTCAGAATCCAGTTTTGTATTTAAAAATTGAATTTTTCCTTTTTACACTGAGTTTCATCTTCAATCATTTGATTTTGAAAATGTTTGACTATTTGATAATTGATTGGAAAAGTTGAATAATTTGCCAAGCGCTCCAACTGTTCCAAGACATTGAAGTTTGACATTAGCAAACCTCAAGAGGTACAAATCAGCAGAGATATTTCTAACCTGTCCTGGGGAAAAACAGCAGTCTGCTCTGATGAGAAGAACTCCTGGAGTGAAGAGGCCAAGAACTCCCCCCACCAGGGCTGGCTGCTACAGACCCTGACCAACAGTGTCCCTGTGCGAAGCCGCAGCGATGGTGTGCCCATGACGCAAAGATTCTTGAACAAAGCCTTGCAGGCCGTCTCCTACAAAAAAACAAAAAAAAACAAAAAAAGATTTCTTTCGATTTGTTTCTGAAGGTATGCATAGTAATGAGAAGCTTGCGATGCGCTGTCCATGTCCACAATTGAACTTTCTTCAAGCTTTACTTCTCCCAGTTTTTCTGTACAAGCCCTCTCCAAGTCGGTATCCCTTCTGTCTCTCAACACACGAAGCATACACTATCATCCACCAGTCCTTTTTAGAACCTCGCACCCTCACAAAAGAGACTTCATACGGTGCTCCAACAAGCGTTTGCCTTCCTAAACCATTTCAGCATCTAATGTAATTTGACCTGTAACTGGCTTAACCTGACCACAATGGATTCTGGCACGTCTAGCTCAACCACTTTTGTCTTTACATGACAAGGAGCTAGATTTGGAGAGACCAAGGAAGTCTCTTCATATAAAATCCTAGGGATATTACAGATCATGGCTGTCACTGTTAAATCCCAAGCAAGCTGTGTTTGCACAGTATATCACCTGGCATAGTTTCAATCACTGACGGAAAGACAGAAAGAAAGTGCAACACTTTCCATCCATTCATATAGATTTCAACCACAAAAACTGTTTACTTGAAGCGAACATTAACTTTCTAAAAGAGGGGTTAATACTTGACCCAAAGTATGCACTGACATAAGACACGGGTACCAGCTACCATTCTGGAAGATAAAGGCCAAATATTGTGAACTGGTGTCTGTCTAAATACACTGCTTGCATACAAAGAATGTTATTTATGCAACATTAATTAACGGTACCAGTGTGGCTTAAGTGGGGTGATATGAAAAGCCTAACAGAAACTGAACCTTAACTGTTTTAAATACTTTCATGTTGTGAGTTTCCATGAGCAAAACAGACATCACAAGGTTATAGCGAGTGTTGTGTATGAGAGTGTTGAACGACCTGCAGCTTAAATTGCTTGTGCACAGCAACTTGTTGACAACATTGCAAGCACTTGTCATGTCTAGCTTTTAAGATGTCTACAAAAAAGCATATCAGAGTCTCCAGGCAGACTTCTGCGGTACATTACCTGAAGCATCTTCTGTAGACTGACGGGCAACGTTGTGCCGGTGTTGGTCAAGCTCAGGAGTGTGTCCAGCAGGTACTCCGACAGCAGACGAAGCTGGTCCACGGATGCCTCCTTGATGGCCACGGGAGAGCCCAGGTCTGGTTTCTGCCTCTCGGCACCCACCTCCTCGTCGTGCTGCAGGCGGGTGATGGTCCGCTGCACGGCGTTCAGCTGGGTTTGTAGCTGGATGCATTCCTAATCAGGTAATTTTGAAAAAAAAAAAATCAAACTCCAGAAGGAAAGGGTGATGCTGGTGTACTTTGTGAACAGCAAGGAGGGTTTCTGGATGAAGTATCTTCATTACTTACCTCGTAGGACTGTCGGACCTCCCGAGAGCTCTCCCTGCGTTCCTCTCTAACCTGGGGTGGAAATGGGGCATGGGTTAAGGGAGACATGTCGGCTGCCTGCAGCAGTCGGCGCAGCCTGCTGCAGGCCAGACTGTAACGACAATGGATGTCCTCCTGTACCGCCAGCGCCATGGTCAGGAACTGCTCCCGCTGGATCAGATGATGCCTGGAGGCTTCGGCCAGCGAGTCCTCGCTGGCGTCTGGGAACTGCTGCTGGCCATTCTCAAATGGGAAGACGTAGGTGTGCCCATAGAAGACGCCCAGGGGGATCTTGGAGCGCACTGTGTTGCCTCCATACCGCCCAACAATGGTAAGCTAGAAAAAATCAATCAAACACACAGAAATGCATCAGGAAAATGTGAAAACTCGAAATTTTTAAAAGCTCGGTGAAAATAAAATGCACTTTTTGGTAAAAGCATGAAATTTAAGTGGGCTTAAAATGAGTGAAAAATCAGATTAACAGGTTTGCCGATCTTGGGTTTTAAGCTAAGTTTTAAATTGACAATAAAAGTGGGTGGTAGGTATTTGAACTCAGGCAAACTTTCAAACATAAGTTTTCTTGTCTTTTGACTAAAGATAAATTGAATGGTTATGTGAGGGAAGTCTTAGATCATTAACGAATGAAGGTGAGTATTGGAAATGCAAGAGAAGAAATTTATAAATGAGAAATTCCACCAATTTTGATTTCTGTAAAGGTCTTACTTTCAGGAAACGACAGGACGCTGGAGGGAGGAGATCATTCATAACCAGATCTCTAGTGTTGATGTCCAGTGCAACGGCCAACCTACGGCCATCCAGTTCCTCGCTCTTCGTCCATACATCCACTGACAAGGAAGCCAGGTCTGAGCAGGCCGGAATGAAGATGTCAGTCAGCAGAACCGGCTGGCCGAAATCGAGCACGGCAAATCTCCTAGCACCTTTGGGCAGGCAAGAGATGTCATAACAACTTATAAGAAGCCCTAAGGCCAACGAAAATATAACTATCTATGGGAAAAATCCAGAAATGTCTGCATAATGTAGTTCCGCTTTTTAACAGTAACCCACACCGACTAGTTGAGAGCCAGATGATTATTAAAGGTATCAACTGGTTTAAACACTTTCTCCGTTTCATGAGAAACGTGGACTCCTATTTCATGGATTCCAACCCTTGGGCATGACAGTCGAGGGTAGTACAAAAATTATGTGCACATTTTGTAGCATTTCGTATCGCAACTGTCTGCTTATCACTGGATCTACTCAAAATTTCCTACAATCATCCCCAACTCCGCATTTTTGTGCAGCATTTTGATGAAATTCAGGGTTGTAAAGCTCAGTCAAGGAATGAATTTGTTTTTATCCAATGAAGGAGCTTTAGCTTAATGAATTGTGTTCCTTAATACTGTGGATTCCTAGAATTTGAAATCAGACTAAAATGAGGTTGGATACAACTATTCATGTCAGCTCAGTGACACCCCTGCAGCTGGCAAACGTAAGTGAAAGCCATGCCCTCAAGTGATGCAAGAGTTTGTCCAGAGACTGGGTTGGCAAGGAAGCAAAGCCTTACCCGAGTGCATTCTGTCAACGATGAGCACATGGGATGGTGGAGGGTTGAGGAGGTTACGCACTAGCAATGGGTTACTGGGCATCATGTCAGGACTCAGCTTAGAACCATCTCCCTACGGACAGAACAACCAACAAGAAACTCTTTGTTATAGACTTGTCATCATCACTCAATTGATTGTGTTAAGTCATCTGCTTTAATTTTGAAACTGTATTGAAATGTCAGTTTTTGATCGAAAAATAAACTTTCATATCAACAATAGAAAAAACATGAGAGGCCAAACTTTGCTTTGTGATGACTGGATTGACAGATGTCATATGATACGACGTGACAAGATTTACTGCACGTGACGAGGCACTATGCATGGAGAAATGGCAATGGACATGGTATAACATAACAAGCGGCATGATATGACACGACACATGGCATGATGCAACATACCAAGTGGCACACAGTGACATAACAAATGATGACATAATAAATGACATGAAGTGACATAAGAAATGGTGACATGATGTGACAGAAGACAGCTAACCTTAGTCTTTCCCTTCTCCGAGGTCCCCTTGCTCTTTTCCAATCCCTGCAACATGCCAAGCCCAAGCATGTCCCCATAGTCCCACCCACCAGGGGGTGGGGGCACTGACAGAAAGCCCATGCTCTCATTGGGCGGGGTCAGGGGTGGGGTCATAAAGAAGGGCGTGTTCTTGGGTGTGGCCGGGAGAAACTCGCCATACAACTGGTTGCTTGGCATGCTGTTGGCCGAGGATGAGGCGCTGGTCTCCTGAAGTTTTTGCTCCAGTTTCTGTTTCTAAATTAGAAACAGATGTAGACGATAGTGTGTGAGCACAGAGTAATCACATATGATGAAGACTCTCGGTCCATGTATATAGACCTGTTTCCTGTGATGTCACAATCGTGGTGGACCGCTATGTGTTGTGATGGTGATGAGAGCATAGTGTTGAAAATGGTAATCCATTTTTTCAAGATAAACTAGTCAAGCATGAAGCGTTCACACGTGTGCTTGTACGTGGTTGAAGCTGCCCATAGGAATATAGGCGATCACCATGGCCAAGGCAATCTGCATGTAGTAATATTGCTTACATTTAGCACAATCCAGTCACATGAGTGAAAAATGTCCATAGTTGAATTCTTATGTATATATTTGTGCCTGTATTATGAACGTTCTACAGACTAGTAGAGATAATTTCACCAGCCAGTGCATTGGCACCATACTTGCCTGTGCCTATACCTCTTGGATCAATTCAGTGTTGTGATTTGTCACATCGCACACGTCTCAAGTTTAAGAACGGCAGTGGCAGTGGGATGCTAACAAAGCAGAGTGACGTCTCCTTGGACTGGCTCAGGTAAATGTGATTAAACTGTACATTGATACATCATGCTGCTGGCCAGAAAACGGAAGCAAGACCCTGTATGCTTTCCCGGGTTCTTAACAAGATTTAACTACCCTCATGGATGATAATAGAGGGTCCTTCAGGTTTGAGGCACACTTCAGTCCAGTTCATAAGTGTTACGTCACTTCAGTTTAAACCACGCCCACTGCACATGCACTGCACATAGTGTTTTGTGCATTGATCGCTGTTTACATGGAACCAAAAGTAATCGCTAAACTTCAGTGATCGTCCAATGGGAGCCTGCAAATCATGACGCATCAGCGTGTACGACAAAGTCGCTTACGAACCGGATTGTAACTAGCCACATAGCGGGGTGACTGCTACATGTTAACAGGCCTCTCCAGCGACGACACAACACTTTGTTAACATGTGTGCTTACCTACGGAGCCAGTGTAGGTACGTCCATGGTATGCTCAGCTCCATCTGACAGCTCACAAGTAAACAAAGTGAGGTGTCTTCAGCACAGGGGCCTACTAATGGACTCATTTATATACAATACTGCTTAACCTATAACATGTTGCCTGCTTTTCCATTACAGATGAAATCTAATACTAATTCACAGATGAAATCTAATGATAATTTTAGTTACTATTTTTAACTATGTAATGCGCTTACAAGCAGGCTTGTCCTGGAGAAAGCGCAATATAAATTTAACTATTATTAAATTAGACAAGGGTAGTTCAAGGTTTTACCAAGAGGTGGCCCCCACAAAAACTTGCGAGACTTCGAAGCCAACCTTGAGTTCAACTCTTCTGTAATTTTGCATTCTTCCCTAAAGATAAATCTTCCACCGACCTGCTGGTTGAGTTTGATCAATGTCTGGGTCTTGTGCTGCAGCAATTGCAGTTGCTGCTCAGCCGAGGCCATGGTGGCCGACAGGGAGGATGTCAGGGTCTCTGGCATGGCTGGGTTACCGGTATTGATGGCTACCGAGCCTTGGACAGTCTCTGCACCTGCAACAGCGAGGAAACAACAACCCAATGTGAGGGACATGACCCAAATTGGGCATTACAGGGCAAGTTGGATCAAGGACCATAGTTAACCATAGTTCGACTCACTCTGATCGAACGCGGGCTAGTTGAGGATGGTTGGACCAGTCTAGTCAACTATTCACGACCAACCTATCGAGGTTGGTCGCATCGTTGTTGCCACAAACCATTATGTCACTGGTTAACAACGACTTTCACTTTTGTTATTTTGCCCTTCCTGTGGCCACCTTTTCTCCCCTTCGGCCTTGTGACCAGTCAACAAAACCCCCAGTGCTTTCTGAATCCCAGGTTTCTGTGTTAAAAAAGTTCATTATAAATCCCAGATCCCACCCCAAAAAAAAGAGGTAAACAAAGGACATCACAATCAATAATTTTCCTTGAAATTTAATATCTAATTCACTGTTTGCATGTTTCAATTTGTCAGTGTTTTAATCTATCTTGAATAAGATTGTTCCAGTGAAATCTATGACCCATGGTACAGACCTCCCAACATTGGATATCAAGAATTTGGAATCCTTCTCTCCAAAATTCCAAAATTTTCCAGAAAAATCAGAATATCCTTTGTATTACCATGAACAAGTAAAAACAGTTAATGCATTGTACAGGAGTCAAATCCGTGTCCGTCATGATGTAGAGTACCGCACATACTCATTGATTCTATAAAATTTTGATCATCCACGAGAGTTTACATCATCTGAAATGGTCCACCACAATTTTTCATCTCCTGCATGTGTTGATTCACCGCAAAGTTCAGCACGAAATTCAGTGAAAAATTCACCGCGTCGTGCTTGCACACTTGACATGATCGTGGCTGATTTCACAGCAGTGCTTAGTTTTGGATCCAAATGTTCTTAGCTACGGTTCCTAGTGAAACTGAGTGCCGTGTGACGCATACAATGTTAGTTACAATGTAGTTCAACGATAAGAGGGTGTTTTCGTCAATGAACAATTTTGGTATCGCGTCCATCTCGCAGCTGGTACGCACCAAAAGGCACTGCCATGGACATGCATGGCTCATTCAACGAGCACTGCACAGACTGTTTGGGTAGGTCGGATAAGTCGTATTACGGTGTATGCACAAGATTACATGGTCAGTTTCCAGTAACACATAGGCGTGTCAAAATTGCGATTTGACGGAAATTTTAGGTGCGAAATCGGAATGGCGAAAACGAAGTGAAAAAGCAGACATTTTCTGCCAAAATCAGGAGGGTTGGGAGGTCTGCATGGTATAAAAAAACAGTTGTTACCTGCAGTGGCAAGGTCCTCAGTGTTCACCTCGAGTGCCATTTGCCCCATCGGGTGTACAAAACACCATGGACCTCTACGCCGCAGGCAACAATTGTTAAATAAAGAAAACCCTTCTGGAGGTAGAGCTTTCTCACGGCTGCTGTTGAGTCCGTCGTAAGTCCCAGCTAACAAGAGTGTTGTAGTTATTCTTACTGTAGCACCTGACATGCAAGAGATCCAATGAACATCAGGCCTCCCCTAAGAACTGTCTCAAGTGTTGATTAATAGTGAAGGAGGGCTCACCTGATCCTACACGTTCCACATGGGTGCCATCGCTGGTGCTGCAGCAGACAAAGTGGAGGGGTTCCACCTCCAGCAGGCCTCTCATGAAGTGGGTGCCACTGAGGGGGTTGCGGGCAGGGTCTCCACCAAGCTTGCTGCCGGCCTGGCTGCTGCCGCCAAAGTCCGGTATGTCCCCGCTGAACCCGGTGGCTGGGATGCCGTAGTAACAGTGTTGTGGGAAGGCCAATGATGCGGCCGCCGAGGGTCCTGCAGAAGGAGCTGAGGAGCCTGCTTTGGAGGGAGGGCTGATGACCGGTGGCTCCATGTCGAACAGGATGGGGTCAAGCGGGGTTCCGTACAGCCCAAATCTGCGGAGAAACCAGAGATGCATAATGCTGGGAACTGTCGTTTATTTCATAGTTTTGCATAAGTGTGCAAAAGTGACTTGTTAACCATAAATCTGAAAATCTTTTAAATCCTTGAAGTGGATTTTGAAAGATACTTAAAACCATTCTTAACTTTATTATTCTTCAGCTAAACCAAAGACAATTATTGACTCTTCCTCCACTCACTTCTTACGTTCTAGTCAAATACAAACCCCTTCAAGTTGGCTTCGTCATTTCTCTTTTGTCAAATGCTTGTTAAAAACTGACATCAGAAAAAGGTATTGTTCCGGTGCAAAAAATTCTGTCTAAGTTTGATGTATTTCTGTTGGTTGGGTGGTTGGTTAACAATTTCTTCTCATTTTCTTTGTTATTCATCACTTTTTTCACCGTAAGACTTACGCAGAAACATTTCCAGCACGTTGGGCTATCAAAAAATAACAGCGCACTCTGGTGAAAGTTTATATTTTGAAGGGGGGAGGGTTGAAGAGAGGACGGACACTGAACTCACTTTGCCCTCAAGATGGCATGTTCAGGCAAGGTTCTATCGGCCAACTCTTGAGCAGCCTCCGTGAGCAGGCGGTGGCAGGCCTTGGCAGTGATCTCGGGGTCCTGCTGCTTGACCATGCCCAGCATGGAGAAGAGCCAGTGCATGGAGCCAGAGGAGACGCAGGCGGGCAGGGAAGGCAGGACGCCCAGCAGGCTCTGGAGTAGGGCCAGCTTGAAGCGCAGGTAGGTGCTGGAGTCCGGGCTACGCTTGGCACATCTGGGGAAAAAAGGTCCATAAACCAACCAACCTTAGCTATATCCACATATGGACGAGACCACCTACAACGCTCAGGTGTTTCAGATCTGTCATTATCGGTTTCTTTCTATCAGGATGGCCATGTTGGTAATAATGAAGCAAAAGACTCTTCGATAATAACCAAATCTCAACAAAAACAGCTTCCAGAAAAAAGGAGGGAGAGATGGCAGGAACAGCAAAGGGAGAGAACTGGGTGAGATACAGAGTAAGGCTAGACTAGGTGAGATATGACCTTGCATCTTTAGAAGGAGAACAAGGAAAATCCTAAAAGTACTCGCCGCAAAATCTGATGCAAAGAGGCATTTAATGCCATATGTAGGAAAATAAAATAAACGCACAAAGAATTTGCTAAATTCGTGGAAGACACCTTGAAGATTTAAGGCACAAAAAAGTGAAAGAAAACTCCTTCTTTTCCCTATGCACCTCCAACAATATACTCTCCTAAACCCCTCAAAAATATCGAACTCAGAGGAAAACATCAATATAAACCAAATTCCATAGGTTTTGTGAGGGCTAAAATATTTAAGATATGTTAATTCTGTAAGAATAAATTTTGAAGCTAGGTGACAACAAAACCACGCTTGATGATATGTGGGGGCTGGGTTGGGTTGGAGGCCGCGACTGAACTTACCCCATGCACAGTGCTAAGAACTGGCTGCATTTATGTGTAATGCTCCTGTTGGCTGTGATGTAACAAGCCTGCACTAAATCGGCAACGTTGGCTAGCGCAGTACCCACCAGGTTCGAGCACTCTACCACGCTGAATAAAACAATAGTCACAACAATTACTGGAGTTAAAGAAAGAAATAGCCAAATGAGGAAGTTAACCAAAAGAGAAAAAAGGCATCATAATGTATTATGAACTATGTTCAACACAGTTTTGCTGTTTTTCAAATATCCACAGAATGCAATCCTCTTATGTTGTCTGACAAGTAGCTGAAGTCACTGAAATATTTTTTGTTCAAATTACTACACAAATGTTTCCAAATGGCCTGTGATTGGCTATGGCACCAGTTTTCATTACTGATTTTGCACCATTCTGACTGAAGACCTGATTCAAGAGCCAATAAAAGGATGAAGCAGTTTTCAACAACAACACTGAAAAGGAGTCTTGCTTTTTTCCCACTGACAACAGAGGGCTCATTTCACCGAAGCTACTTAATTTACAGCTAAGTCTTACAAATGCCTAACAGTTCTGATCGTACAGAATACATGTAGGTCAACACTGTTTAATTTACTTTTCTGTTAACTTCAACATTTTATTGGCTAAACTCACAACTCTGGGACAAGAAGGTAATTTGAGCACATACGATGGTGAAACTTGAGGATTGCAACATGAAAATGGAATAATCAACTCTTCCTTTCTGATGATTCAGAGAAAGCAGTGAGCTAAATGGAGAGTGGATTCAATGCTGGTCAGCTGACATTTTGGCGACTACGGTAGATTTGGGTTGAAGGTTGAAAAAACTGAAATGTGTACATCAAAGTCAATCAAAGAAAACCTCCATCTCAGTCTCATTTTTACCTGAAAGGCTCACATATATGAACGCTGGCTACCCAACATAACACATCCAGACAGACTTGCTGGAAATGTTGCCATGTGGTCATGTCGGGAGGTGGGGGTACCAGACCCATCACGCTGAGCACCAGATTCTTCTGGAAGAGTGTGGATTCTAGAAGTCCTACTCGTTGCAATCTACAGTATCAATGTAAAAAAAAAAGCAATGTTGAAATAAGTGCATTCAAAGATTTACAAACTGAACAACAATTTTACAAACATCCAGATAACTCTTCCCTTTTATTTTCCATCAACTTTGCTAAAATAAACTCTTCTGTGATTCTGAATTAAAATCTGAAACGTCATTCAGAACTGAACAACCAAATAGACATTCCAATACAGAGAAGCCAATGAGGCTGCAGCAAAATCGGAACAATGATAGAAGAACTAACTTACCTGTTGATCTGCACCCATGAAGGACTTACACAAATCGAAAGAAGTCTGGTCTATCAATTTAAATGTCTCCCCAACAGACCTTTCCTTTATTTTCAAAAAATGACTACCATTTTGTAAGATCGGCCAGGAAGTTTGCATGAAAGTCACCTTTGGTGGCCAAGGACTTTTGCCCCAAGAATGAAAATGTTGCTTTTTACATGTAGAAACAGGAGGCATCTTCATTTAGTATTTTGCTGAAGTATCTCTTATCATTAAGTGTTTTAATATTTGCATAGGATAAGTAACTCTTTGTGAATTGTTTGTTTGGTTAATGTACTCAAGCCAGCAACAAACTGCGCTCATGAAGAAGCAAAGGAAAGATTTATAACCTGTCTGTCACAAGCACACGTCAAAACATACCTGTCTCTGTTCAGGTTGACCTTTTTGGTTCGACGAATCGTGATGGACAGCTCTTGGATCCAATC